TGGATGCATTTATTCCCCATGATGAGATTGGATGTTGGACTTCCATGGTGGAATCTGCTGTGAGCAGTTAATCAGTTGAAACAGAGTTGCCTCTGGGGTGTGGCCTGGTTCCAGTATATGTAGAAAGGATCCTGCTTTTGGTACAGTTTTCACCGCTAGTTCTTGGACTTGAACAAGTGGCCTGAAATGCTTTCTGCTGATATTGGGATTGTGCCATTTTACCTGTCGATCTTAGGTTTGTCAGCCTCAGCAATCAGCAGCCAGCAGCTGTGTGATTTAAGAGAAGCCTCTAGCTTGCTCCAGCAGGCCTGTAATAAGAGGTAGAGCTGAGCCTCCACCTAGACCCTAGAGCCAGCACTCTGAACTCAGACTTCTAACCTCCTAAACTGTAAGAGAATAAATTCCTGTTGTTTAAGCCTCCTACTTGTGATATTTCTGTTATAGCAGCATTAGAAAACTAAGACAAATGCCAAGCAGAGGAGGGAAGACTATTCTCTAGCTATTAAAGCTCACATTACTTCATGGGTCTGCTTCTTGTCCAGGCTAACAGAAGGCAGCAAAAGGCTGCAGTACAGTGATTCCTTGCAGGAAGGAGACCAGATAGGGTAGGATAGCACAGGCCAAAACATACGACTGAAGTCAGGAAGAATTTGAGCAACATCTCATGAGGTTTCTTGCCTCAAACATCTCCATTCTTTCATTTGCCAGTGGTGCCTGGGCAGGAAATCACAGGGTCTGTCCAGCATCTTGATAAACCTCATTTGGTTACTAGGTTTCACTCCAGTTTCTGCAGGCATTTCCCAATCCGAGGAACAGAAAAAGCATTTTCTGGTATTTATCTGTCCGAGGAAAGCATATCCTTTTCTACTCACATCCTCCAGAAAGAAGAATGGTGCTGAGGTAAGAGTTTGCTTAAGAATAGTCTTCCTCCAAAGCTAGACTTGGTTTTTGCCTGTAAGACCACAATCTCTTAGAGTCATGGTGGTGTTGAACGTGCAGGGAGTCATGGGTTTCCATCAGGTAGAGGAAGGAGATATGCAATTCATTCATAGAAGCTCTTGGTGTTGGCAGCTTAGACTATGGGGGATTTGAATGGGGTCAAGCAAGTTCTTTGTTTCTGTTCTACCTCCCTACTTCTTCCCTTTATCGCCAATCATCAATCTGCAACTACAGGGAGAAATATTTTGCTATCTTTAATTAAAGAGCAAAATGGCATGCAGTCACTGCTTTCCAAAACTAAATTTATTATAAAAAACTCAGGTATCACAGATTTCCTGCTATTCAAATGTTTGGTTTTCTTTTTATCTGTTATTTGTTTTTACCTTTGTATCACTGCATCTATTAGTGCTCTAGCAGGAAACACAGGCACAGTCTAATGAAGTAACTGAGAAGAATTTAATAAAGGGGTTATTTACAGGGTATGAGCAAGCATAAGGAAAACCAATAAGTTTGGTAACACTCCCAGAAAAAACAAGTAATAGTGGGTATCATTAACATCGCTAGGTCTAATGGAGTAAGAAGTTACCAGAACTCAGGAAGGTCTATATATGTGATTCTGAATCAACTCAATGGTGGCATTTTCTTTTTCTTTTCCTTCTTCTTTTTTTTTTTTTTTTTTCATATAGCTGTAGCTGTAGTCCTGGCTATGGCTGTAGGAACAGGCCACTATTACAGGGGTTATGTTCTTAGACAGTGTAGCACTGCCAGTGCCAAGTACAGCCTTACTAGGAGAGTGCCAGGAAATTAAAAACTCCCAAACCCTTCTCCTCCTGCCCTCAGTCTCCTCTCAGTGTCTCACTTTGACTGAACTTAACCAGAAGCTAGAGGGGAAGAGGGCTCAGGATAAGGCACGGAGTTATCTTCTCCTGTGGCCTACAGGAGGCTATAGAAAAGAGGGAAGGGAGAACTTGATGGCAAGTGCAGAAAATCACACTTTCTTATATCCTCCTCATTGTTTGTATTTCCTGCCACTTTCTCAACGTCATATGAATGGATCAATTTCTCATTGTATCTCCCAAGCTTTTCTGGAGGTATTCATTTGTTTGTTTATTTGGATTTACTTTATTGAGTGTCATTTTATTACAACAATCTGTCACTATCATCATAAAAACCTTAAAAATGAAATATAGTTTTAAAATAGAGGTGGGGAGAGATTATAGAGGCATTTGAAAGAACCTGCAATATGCAGATGACACAACCTTGCTTGCTGAAAGTGAAGAAGACTTGAAGCACTTACTGATGAAGATCAAAGACTACAGCCTTCAGTATGAATTACACCTGAACATAAAGAAAACAAAATCCTCACAACTGGTCCAATAAGCAACATCATGATAAACGGAGATAAGACTAAAGTTATCAAGGATATCATTTTACTTGGATCCACAATCAATGCTCATGGAAGCAGTAGTCAAGAAATCAACTGATGTATTGCACTGGGCAAATGTGCTGCAAAGTACCTCTTTAAAGTATTAAAGAGCAAAGATGACACTTTGAAGACTAAGGTGCGACTGACTGACCAAAGCCTTGGTACTTTCAATAGCCTCATCTGCATGTAAAAGCTGGAAATGAATAAGAAAGATTGTAGAAGAACTGACGCATTTGAATTGAAGTGCTGGCAAAGAACATTGAAGATACTGTGGACTGCCAGAAGAATGAACACATTTGTCTTAGAAGTACAGCCAAAACATTCCTTAGAAGCTAGAATGGCTAGACTTCACCTCTCGTACTGTGGTCGTGTTATCAGGAAGGACCATTCTCTGGAAAAGGACATCACGCTTCCTAAAACACAGGATCAGCATAAAAAGGGAAGACCATCATTGGGAGGTACTGACACAGTAGCTGCAACAGTGAGCGCAACCATAGCAAGGCTTGTGAGGGTGGTGCACTACTGGGCAGTGTTTTGTTCTACGTTGTACATAGAGTAGCTATGAGGAGAAATCAATTCGATGGCACCTAACAGCAGCAACAAGGAATGTAATAGTGAACAAATAAACAGAAGCAGGCATGATCTAAGCATTCTAGAGCTTTGAGTTTAATGAGAAAGACAAAGATAAACACATAAAATAGCATTGCAAGATGTGTTAAGTTTCAGGAAGAAAAAAATCTAAAGTGGTCCAAGAAACATAGCAGACGTTGTGGCTTTCCTCCCGTCCCCTCATCAGGCCAACTAGGGCTTGGGAACTAGGCGAGGTCATGATGGGCTCATTCAGTCCTGATATCTCTCTTGCTCCCCCCACCAGGAGCACATGTCCTGTCTCTCTACCTGGTGGCTCCTGCCCCGGAAGCCCTCTCCATTCTGGAGTGAGGGCTGCCTTCTGTGAGGCAGGAAAGGTCTCTGACACTCAGTTGCTTATTTCCAGGTGGTTTTCACTCATTTTTCCCTTTCTTCTTGCTTTTGCTGATATTTAATTAAACTAGGCTTTAAAAAATAAAAAAACCACGAAGTTGATATTTGATTTTGGATTTGACTTGTGCATTCATTACTTGCATACTTTTTCTTCCCTTTCCATGTGTAATGAACACCCTACACTGGCAGTGGGTTTGCTACATTGATTGAGAGAATGATTGACTTAGACCTGTGGGTTCACATCCAGGCTCTAACACTTCTTTACATGCATTCTGAAGCTAATCACTCAACCTTCTTGTGCTTCAGTTTCCTTATCTGTAAAATAATAACAGTACTTAGCTTATTGGGCTCTTGAGAGGATTAAAAGAGGTAATACTTGATAAGCACTCAATCACCTACTATTATTCACCCTGATGTGATTTAATCCACCTTTTCAAATTGAAATTAACATGAGCATCTTCCTTTTCACCAAAAGCCTTGAAAAACATAGAAATGGGTACATTTTCAATTTGCCATATCCACTAATTCTCTTTGTAAATATTTTAATCAGCAAAGCAAGCTAGTTAAGTCACCTTGGGGAGAGATTGTGTGGGTTTATATTACATATTTTCCAGCAAATTTCTTAATAGTCCCCATTAGGTACAGCCACGCTTCAAATACTTCTATTCAGCTGCATTGCCACCTCTTTGTCTTCCTTTCCAACTTTTCCTCTTTCTTCTGTAAAATACAGGGAAATTCAATTCTTCTACATGCTCAATAAAGCCATTTGCTGGCCCTTCATATTTTGAATGCATGAGGCTAGCCATCATTAGCTATTTGTCCAGACATAAGTAATTCAAACACACACAGAGCTTTAAACAGAATGAATAATGCTAACTGGGATTATTTTCATCTCCTTACATTGTGTGTTTGCTAGTGACTAATTTCATTGAAAAATTGTTTATTAACCTAAAAGTTTCACTACCTGTAGGTTCCCCATTCATTCTTTCATTTATTCCTTTCATTATTAAAATTTTATTCAGTACTCATTGTGTTCCCTCATGGCAGTAGGCACTGAGAACACACAATGGTCAATAAAATCTGCTTTTGTCTTCATAAAGATTACACATTGAGCCATTTGTAGCCCAAGAAACCTGGCCTTTCTTGCTTCTGTATAGTGAGTGGTCACATTCTTCTCAGGTCCCTAAACATGGTCTTCTTCCCCCCTTGGTGGATAGACACTCTTAGTCACTGAAGAGCTTTCAACTTCCTGTCTTTGACAGGAAATTTCTGTTCCATGACAGAAGTAATGCTGAACTCAGGATGCTCTGTCTATTCCACTAGCTTGTTGCACACTTTTCTCTTTCTGCCTCTCTAGTGATTAGGACATGACATGGCCTCAGGGAAGTATGTGCAGGAAGGTTCTGTCATACAATGTCAGTAAAAGGCAGGAGAAACCCAGAGTTTAAGTCTGTGAGAACTGGTATTGAACCGAGGTTCCATGATTCCCAGGCCTTTCATAAATTACTTAATTTCTGCAAGCCTCCATTTTCTTTTTCTTTAAAATAGGGACAGTAATTCCCACATAGCAGGGTAGTTATGAGAGCCAGTGATAAATCAGCAAGTGCTCAAATCTTGTTTGTGTTCCAGGGGCACCAGTGGAGAGTTTCTGAGCATGGATCCAAGTGTCCCGACCTTAGAGACTGAACTCACAACAATGAATGGAAGTGATGATGCCCTTTCTCCAAATTGTAATGTGGAGACTCTGACACAAGACTTGCTGATCGTTATAATTGCCCTTGGTGGGCTGGCAGGAAACATGGTTGTGCTTTTGTTCCTGGGCTTCCACATGAAGAAGAATGCCTTCTCTGTCTACATCCTCAACCTGGCAATGGCTGACTTCCTCTTCCTCTGCTGCTGCACCATAGATTCCCTGTTAAAACTTATAGAGTTTTTCCATTCTTTTTACATCTTCATCCCCTACTTCAATACCATGTCATCCTTTGCCTACATTGCAAGCCTAAGCATTCTCAGCATCATAAGCACCGAGCGCTGTCTGTCCATTCTTTGCCCCATCTGGTACCGCTGTCACCGCCCAAAGCACCTGTCAGCTATAATGTGTGCCCTGCTCTGGACCTTGGCCCTACTGCTAGGCATCCTGGAAGGAAACTATTGTGGCTTCCTGTCTGGGGACTTTAGGGCTAAATGGTGCCAGGTACTTGATTTCATCACTGCTGGGTGGCTGATATTTTTATATGTGCTTCTCTCTGGAACCAGTATGACCCTATTGACCAGAGCCCTCTGTATCTCCCAGCGTATGCAGCTGACCAGGCTCTATGTGACCATAGTGCTCACAGTATTGGTCTTCTTTCTCTGTGGTCTCCCCTATGGCATATACTGGTTCCTATTATACTGGATTTACAGTGAATCTAATATGTTCTTATGTTATTTATCATTGGTTGGAATTGTCCTGTCCTGTGTTAACAGCAGTGCCAATCCCATCATCTATTTCTTTGTTGGCTCCTTTAGACAACGAAGGCAGTGGCAGCGGCTACCATGGACACTCAAAATGCTTCTCCAGAAAGCCCTGCAGGACACACCTGAGGTGGCTGATTCTGGAGGAAGCCTTACTAAGGAAACAATGAAGATGTCAGGGAGCAGTGTGGTGTAGTGCTTGAGAGGCTCTGCTTTGTTCAGACATATTTGGCTTTGGAAACAACTTTGCTCCCTTTCACCTTGAGAGATTTTATTAACTTCTCTTAGCCTCATGTCTCATGCCATTAAGAGCAGTCTTAAAATGGGTAAGCTAATATTCCTCTTTGTGAAGATAGAGTAAGACAATACCTGTTAAATAAACACTGAATGACGTGTCTCAAGGAGTACCTTACTCAGGGACTGCCATACTATCCCCATGTGAGGTCTGCCAATGCTGAGTTTCATGACGAGTCTTACTTTTGAAGAATCACAGCTTCAGCAGAAGGTTGAAAGCATCTCAGAAAACATCTAAATTTCTTTGGTTACTGCACTTGATAGGGACTAAAAGCATATTATCATTTAGGCAAGTTTCTTTAGTCTCTTCTCTACATTTTCTGTCTCAGTATAATTAAATTGTTCTATAAGCAGTGTTTTTGAATTTGGCAGACCTTATGATCTCTGTCTAGCTTAATAAATGTGTATTGAATAAATGACTTTATGAAAGAATAAATAAATGGGTGGACTTTTAAGTCAAGCATATGCTAAATCTCTTTTAAACAGATTTGAGTTACCATCTTAAAGTGACTCCACCAAATTCTCAGGGGAAGACTGAAGAAAAATCCCCTCTTGCTTCTGAAAGGGGAAAAAAAAAAAGGAACCATTTTGATATAAGCCCACAGTGCTCTGTTCTCCTTAACAATGGTCTTACTTCAAGGGAAATTATTTTACCAGAATATTACCAATGTGGGTTTTTACAAGAGTCCAATTAGACTGCTAACCCGAAGGTTGGCAGTTCAAACCCACCAGCTGCTCCGTGACAGGAAGATGTGGCAATCTACTTCCGTAAAGATCTTCCACCTTGGAAACCCAATGGGGGTTGCTGTGAGTTGGAATCAACTTGATGGCAGTGAGTTTGGTTTTGGGTTTGGAATCAAATACCCAACTCCAGCTTCCTCTAGCCTTCAACTTGGAAGAAGGGAAATTCCCATCCCCAGCTCTCTCTAGATTTCATATCTCAACTACAGGGTGGATATTTTAAAAATTGAGAAGCATTAGTGAAGGTCACAGCCAAGGTGTACACTAAAAGTCTGAGACCTAATCACATGGTTACAGAATGCTTTCCCTCCCCTCAGGGCCACAGTTGAGGCAGACATCAAGCTTAATTTGCAAAACACAGTACAAAAAAAAAAAACATTGTTTTTCATCCTACTGTGTTGAGCAGTGACAGGGGTCTTAAGAACTTGTGAGTGTTCATCTAAACTTAAAACTCACTCAGTATAATTAAATTGTTCAGTATAAGCAGTGTTATTCAATTTATAGCGACACCTCCTTGGGTTTCTGAGGCAGTATCTCTATGGAATTAGATCACCCAATCTTCGTTCCGAGGAGTGGCTGGTGGGTCAGTCATATGCCTAAAAGAGGAATGAAGAAAATCAAAGACACATGGAAATAACTAGTCCAAGGGACTAGTGGATGATGGGAACTTCAGCCTAATGATCCTGAGACCAGAAGAACTAGATGGTGCCTGGCTACCACTATCAACTACTTGAAAAGGGATCAAAATTGGAGATCCTGGAAAGAGTAGGAGAAAAAATATGAAACAAAACTCAAAAATCATTTTTTTTAAAGGCATTTCCTTTCCCCTTGATAGAGACCAGTGAGACCCCCAAGACTTTGGACCTGCAACTGAACTCATTCCTATGGCTTAGATTTCAGCCAAACAAGAAACAGCCTTATGAGGTGAACAATTACACCAGGGAGGTGCAACTCCTTAGATCAATCAACCATGGGAAATCAGAAGGGCAGCATTTACACAAGAGGAAAGCACAGAAGGCAGGAATGCATAGAAAGAAGGACACACGAAAAGGTAACCACAGGGAGGTAGTGGGAAGACAGCTGTTACATTGCGGGGGTTGCAATCAATGTCACAAAACAAAATGTGTATGAACTGTTGAATGGAAAATGAATTTGCTCTTAAGATAAACTAGATGATGGAGACCTTCTAAAAATTAAATTCTTATGTGCATCAAAAGACTTCTCCAAAAGAGTAAAAAGAGAACCTACAGAATGGGAAAAAAATATTTGGCATTGACATCAGACAAAGGACTTATCTCTAAAATTTATAGAAAACTCCAACACCTCAACATCAAAAAGATAAACTATCTAATTAAAAAATGAGCAGAAGACATGAACAGACATTTCTCCAAAGAAGATATTCAGGCAGCCAACAAACACATGAAGAAATATTCATGACCATTAGCCATTAGAAAAAAACCAAACTCACTGCCATTGAGTCGTTTCAGACTCAACGGGTTTCGCAGGCTGTAAATCTTTACAGAAGTAGATTGACCCTTCTTCCTTCCACAGAGCAGCCGGTGGTTTGAACCACTGACCTTCCAGTTAGCAGTCAAGTGCCTTATCCACTACACCACCAGCTGCATCCCATTTAGAGAGATGCAAATCAAAACAACCATGAGATACAATCTCACCCCAGCATTAATACCAAAGTTCAACAAGACAGAAAATAACAAATGCTGGCAAGGATGGGGAGAGATTAGGACTCTCATACACTGCTGGCAAGACTATAAAATAATACAACCACTGTGGAAATCACTACGGCAATTCCTTAAAAAGCCAGAAATAGAAATACCATTTAACCCAGCAATCCCATTACCAGATATATATCCTAAAGAAGTGAGTGGCAGGACATGAATAGATATATGCACACCCATGTTCATCACAGCACTATTCACAATAGCAAAGAAATGGAAATAACCTAAGTGCCAATCAACCAAGGAATGGACATACAAACTGTGATACATACACACAATGGAATACTATGTAACCCTAAAGAATAATGTAGATTCTGCAAAATACCACAAAACAGGGATGAACTTGGAGGACATTTTGCTGAGTGAAATAAGTCAATCACAGAAAGTTAAATATTGTATTAGTCTGCTATTGTAAAAAGTAAGGGAAACATTTATACATAGAAGGAAGAAACTTTGCTGGTTACCAGGGATGGAAGGGAAGGGGAAGGAAATTTTTCAGATAGGTTGGCCTCAGAATCCCAAGGAGGAGTTGCTAGGAGTGGGATCTGACTCAATGACACTG